TCATCGTCATTATTATTATTATTATTGCTATTACTATTATTATATTCTAACTTATAGTACGTAACAAAGTATAATATAGATCAAAGCTTATCAAAAATTTCGATCGCTTAACTTGAAAGTTATAATAATAATAAGTTCTTTGTAAAAGAACAAAAACGAAAAAAACTAAAAACTAATACGTCTTGAAGAAAGAGTTTAGTATAATTAAAAAAATAATATAATACAAAAATAATTTTTTTTGAATTTTTTTTAAAACTAATTAGCTACACACATTTCTGAAAATTATTTAGATGCAATTTATAATTGCAATAGTCTCTAAAAATAAAAATTATTTTAATTATTATCAAATCAATCCATTAATATATAAATACAAAAAACTTATAACTCTTGTAAGAATTAGATATAAGGGGTGTCTTTTACCCCTTATTAAATAAGAGCATCAAGAATAAAAAAGAATTTCGAAATCAATTGCTTAGAATGTAAAAACCCAAGAGAGATAAACGTGCACACAAAAACAAACACACAAACAAATAAATTGACAAAATTGATAAGCTTTGCTATATATATATATATATGTAACTATAAACTAAATAAAATTAAATCAGCCTATTACTTTTTAAAAGTATTCATTCATACTATGGTATCCTTGTCAATTATTTGTCATTAGTCGTTGGTGGACTGTTAGAACTAGACGAATCAGATTTTGATCTTGATCCTGAATCAAAGAATAGGACTCCTCGATAAGTTGCATCTTCTATTGTAAGACTGACGTTCAATGAACCATCATCGTTGTTAGTTTCTAAAATAAACAATAACAAAATAAGCTGGAATCGTTCTATTACATAATAAATTAAACATTCTAATAAAACATATTATGCATCAGTATACAATACTGATTTATTTTCTATCAAAACACGTTTAGTATTGAAAAAATATATGTTTCAAATGTAAATCATCAATGAATGAATATTACATATAGTTTAGCAACATATAATAAAATCAAATATATAATTAAATAAAAAAAAGGATAAAAGATTAAATAAAATGGAATATGAATAATACATGCCTGTGGAAATTTTAATGTTTTTTGAGGTAGACGAAGTTGAGGGTTGAACCGTTTCCATAGATTCATCTACTTCAGATAATCGCCTTTTTTTACCAGAAGTAACTGAATCCGAATCCCTTTTTCGTGAAATGCTGGTTGAAGATAAAGGGCTTCGTCCGCAGGCTACAGAAGGTGAGGAACATACAGATGATGACCTGAACAAAAAATCAAATCTTATTAAAATTGAATGAACAAACATCAGATTGATTAAACACTCGTCATCCCCCACGTATTTGCATCCAAATATTCAAACTTAGACTTTGACTAATAACAATCAATGATTATAGTTAATTATATGCAATTTCAAATCCAAAAAACAATTCATAAATAAATCTAATTTCGTAGTTAGCAAAATATTTGATTTGATCAGTTTTAAATGTATAAACCAATTTATAAATTATGTTAATAAAAAATTTATATCCTCACCTAACTCCAAGATCCAATGCTTCTCTTTGTGGTTCTGGGCTTGGCACAGGTTGCAACGAGGATTGTGATGCTTGTGGTGATAAAGAGGCATGATGCGCAAGTGCTGCTGGGTAAATCGTGTTATTATTACCAAACACAGCTTGAATATTACGCAGTGTTTCGTAATTTTGTATGTTTGAAGGTATGGGTATTGTTGTTGTAGTTGGTGTCGAACTACCTGGCTGAGATATTATCGGTGGTGACGACCCCGTTGCAACAAATTTTTCCCTATGATACATCCTAAAATATTCGGCCATTCGTGCTTCGAATTCGGACGCATTTACGCTCGTAAGGGATACTAGAAATATTAAGGAAAATACAATTGACAATCAATATTACTAAACGAATAACGTATTGGGGAGGAAAAAAAAATAACGAAAATCAAAAGCAACGAGTAGAAGAAGCATCCAAATTTATACGAATTATATGCGTGTGTTTCTAAGAAGAATCATTTTTTCTTTATTTTACCCGCGTTACCGAAAAAATGAAACATGAAAAATTCTATTGCATACTAAAGGTTGCATTAAAGTATTAAATTATGTAAACCGATGATTCTACAATTTAACCAACCATTTAAAAAAAGAAACAAGAGCCTAATCTAAAAGTTACATTTGTCAAAAAAAAAAAAAAAAAACATACGAGCGATCTTTTTTTACTTTTTTTTTTTTCTTTCAGATGACTCGGTATAGTAAATGAGGGAAGTATTGGAAACGGTAGCAGCACACTGTAATAGAAAATTGGAACGAGGGTTGGTTGGTTGGTTGGTTGGTTGGTTGAGAGAGTGAAAGAAGAAGAAGAAGAAGAAGTGGATGAGAAGAGAAGGAGGATGAGGATGAAGGGGGGAATGGAGTGAGGGGGCTACGGGGTTAGAGGGGGTTGGGGGTAGGTAGGGAAATAGGAATGCTCGTTAGGAAGAGTCATCCGTTAACGCCTGTCTCTCCAAGGATCGTACAATCAATTACATCTTCTATCTCTCTTTCTCTAACACGTCATCGTTGTGGGCTCCTAACTAACGATTTAAAATAAACTCAATCTTTCTTTCTTTCTTTCATTCTTTCTTTATTTCTTTATTTCTTTTTTTGTTTATTCTTACTTTTAATATCCGTGCACAATACCGGTGAACAATTATTATTCGGCACATGTCTTAATCACAAAACGAATGTGAAAAAATTGCTTACCCGTTTACCGTTGGATAATTTTCTAATGTCAAATTCGCGAACCGATAATTTAATTATTTTTCGAAAAATTTTGTTCGGTTAAATTTCGATTACCAAGATGAAAAAGTAATTTTTTGAATCGGAGCCAGGTTAAAAAATATACAAACATACAATTGATTTAGGAAAAAAATGTATGTAGGATTATAAAAGTAATACTTACTATTTTGTGTATGGTTCAATGATCCTTGAGGAAGTTGGGATATCTGGGAATGTTGCACCAAAGACGGATGCACCGAATTACCATTGACCATGGATTGTGCTGACGTAACTGCGGCCGCTGTTACCAATGAAAGTGGTGAAATTTGTGGATGTAATTGCATCGCATTAGGTGACATTCTTGAACGCATTGACAATGGTGTTGATTGATTTCTTTGACCATCGTTACCGGATCCGGTTGGAAATTGTACATAAGTATTCCTACGTCCTTCCCGACGATTACCATCGATTGCTAATTTCAATTCGGCAGGGGTTGATAAATTTTTTCTAGCGCATTCGTACTCGTAAAGATATTTCATGTATCTGAAAAAAAGTAAAAACACAAATCAAATTTATATATATAATATTATTAAATTAATTATTTTTTAAACATTTTATATGTATCATATATTGAGATCCATTTTCATTTCAATATCCTTCTTTTAATATTCTCGTTCGAATTAATATAATAATAACAAAAATGAAACATAATTAATTAAATTAATTCTATTTGTTTTTTGGAACCCGCTTTTAAATTTGTTAATCACTTGGTTCTTGAAAAAAATTCTCATTCGATTCGCAAATTCGTTTACGTAAAATAGAAAAATGAAGGATAATTTTCGATTCTCGTTTTGTTTCTTAGCTTTTAACAGGGTTCTTTCAGTACTTTAGACTAGTGTGTATTTTTGTTTGCCAGAGCTTACGTATCATTAGCGATAGAAGGAAGGAAGGAAGGAAAGGAAAGGAAGGAAGGAATCTTAAGTACACAAACTCTCACATGTTATATTCGCGTTTGTACCACCTGTCTGTAATAGCTGATAGTGTCATCCAAACAATACGTTCACTATCTCATATTTCCCTCTCTCTCTCTCTCTCTCTCTTTCTTTTTCTAATCCCATTATTCTAAAATCATCTTTTGATTACTTTTAACATTCGGTTCAGATCAAAGAGAATTTTAGATCAAAGACACAAACTTAACGTGTTAAACTTTTACAACACTTTTACGAGCTTTTTGTAAACTCTATCTTTCTCTCTCTCTCTTTCTCTCTTTATTTCTTTTTCTTACTTCCAAATAAGAGAAGATATGAAAGTGGAAAAGAACTATAGTCTTCTTTCTTTCTTTCTTAACGTCGTTTGGAATTCGATTACCATCCAGAGAAGTTGAGATTTATGCTCTCGAACGAAGAACATCGTATACGTACATGTATACATGTATGTATAAGTGGGTGGGTGGATATACAGGGTGTCTAAAACGATCAGAATTAAACTAACATCACGTGTTAATGACATCAAATAAGTCAAGAAAGTTGGTAGAAATTTACGTTGAAATAATGCATTGATTCAAAATTTCGGTAAATTTTCGGATAATCGATGACTGTATGAAAACTTCTAATAAACGTATGTTGCAAGAATCGTGTGATGCATAATTAATAAATTTTCTACTGAATATTATTTTTTTTAGAAAATGTGTGTGTAATTGAAAACTGAAGACTAGTGTTTTTACTGATGCATTATGAATGCATTTACAATTATTTCTAAGTGTAATTAGTGTTCAACAGTAGTTTAAATTTTCGATTTAATAAAAATCCTGCATTAGTTGTGTGAAAAGGCAACCAAAAAAACTTCGTAAATTTATTCTAAACATTTTCAAACGGGAATGAGATTCGTACGAATTGCATTTATCATATGACGTGACCTCATTAATTTCGGTTGGTACTGATCTTTTCGGACACCCTATACGTATGATGTTGTTTTATTAGTAAGTGTGCGTAAGTTGAGAGAAAAAAAGAGAGAAAGAGAGAGGGGGTGGGGGGTTCATCGTGTGTCGGGTTGAACTTTTAAAGTCGACGGCTAGTTTTGCGGGCAGGTATGGCCAGACAATCGTAAAAACCGAACGATGCCAGCGCGAATTATAGGCCACGTCTGAGAGACGTCTTGCATGCCTTCGATTGGCCCGTGAAAAAGAAAGTGAGATGGAGATTTGAAAGAGTCAGAGTCAGAGTCAGAGTCAGAGTCAGAGTTAGAGTAAGTGGGACCTTTCGGATAACATGTCAAGATAAACAATATTTACGAATTATCAAAACGTCCAAATATTATTACGCTAGGATGAGAAGGAAAGGGTAGAGGAGACCCACCTGTTATTTTATTTTTTTTTCATAGTTGTTTCATTGGATAGGGGGTTGGGGGTGGTCTATGATGAGGCTTTTGATATTACTTATTTTTGTTCTTATTTGAACAGAATTTTATTCGGGTAGATAATGTTAATTATTCATTGAAATCATATACGAATTATAAATAAGATATCTTTATAAATAATAATCGGTAAAATGGTATAAAATGTAAAGCAAATTCTTAAGGAAGGAAGGATGATTAATATCTCGTCTAATATAAATGTCTCACTTATATTTTCACCAATGTTTTTCACTTATTCGAGACAGAACACAACCCAATGACGATTCTAAATGGGGATTGAGAAAATCGGCCGACCGAGACCGTCAAATACGAACAACAAGATGAGAAAAAAAAAAGTGGGAGACGGTTTGTGACGAAAGGAGGGTTTAAAAAAACACGCTTTTTAAACAACCCAACGAAATAATTTAATAAATAGAATAACAGAGAACAAGAAATTAGGGCTGCGAAGGGGAGGTGTGGGTGGAATTTAAAGAACAAAAGTTAAACGATAATATTCGAAAAGGAAACACCCATAGGTGGACAAATAAAAATCCAAAAAAAAAAAACAAAAATGAAATAGAAAAAAGGGGAATATATAAAGAATTAATTAAATAATAAACGAGAAAAAGAAATAGAAAAATGAAAACAATCAAACAAATGGAATATGTATGTGTGTGTGTGTCTACGAGAGAGAGCGAGAAAAAAAAAAGGTTTTAAAATCGAATTAAAAGAAAACTATATCTCTTTCTATATCTTTTTCATTTTCTTTTAAGGGAACACATATGCTCGCGAAAATAACTTCTCAACTCTCGTGGTGGGCGACGAGAACGTCTACGAGACTCGATGGTACATCCATCATTCCTCTAACCGGTCATAGGCACTAACAGTGTCTTGTAAAAGAGAAAGATAGAGATAAAGAGATAAATAAAGAGATAAAGAGAGAGAAAGAGAAAGAAAGAAAGAAAGAAAGAAAGAAAGAAAGAGAAAGATTGGTGGCAATCGAATCGATTATACGTCCACCTCGTTTCACGCCTCGTATGTGTTACCCCCTTCTCCTCCTCTTCCCCCTTCTTATTTTCTCTTTCCATCCTAACGTACGTGTTAATATACGTGTATCTGTGTATTTAAGTGCACACGTGTCAATGTAGTTTCTACTAACTCGAGAAAAAGTCTGAAAAACCTTCCGAGAATCCGTCCAAATCCGATTACACGGTGCGTTTGTCACCGTCCGTTTTAAAGTATGTGAGAATAAAAGAAAGAGAGAGAGAGAGAGAGAGAGAGAGAGAGAGAGAGAAAAAAAAATGAGGGATGGTTAAGTGGGAATACGTTTTTACAGTTTTATTCACGTATCGTGGAGTTCTTCGAGAGATGATGTTTTTCTTTTTGTTGTTGTAAATTAAACACGAAGATTGGATTAATTTTAATTAAACGTGAATAATTTATTATTTGTTTTTTGATTTCGGTACTCGCTCGTCGCGTAGTTGTACATTTTTTTCTTCCCTTGTTTAAAATTATACTATAACGTTAGGTACAAAGAACAGTTTTTTTCGGTATCCCAATTCAATATTTAAATATATCCTTTTACACGTTCATTATTATTGTTATGAAATATGAATGAATTTTTTAAGATGCACTTTTATTGGGTTTTAAATGAATACTTCGTTTTTAGAGTTTTGATGATTTTAAGTTGGTTGATGAATTTGTCGAATGGAAAAAAATGGGGGAAAAAAAAGAAACGAAAGGGTAATCATTGTAATAGTTAAATTGAATTGGATCGGTGAAGACTAGTAGTAGTAATAGTAGTAGTAGTAGTAGTAATAGTGTCACACCCCTTTTTTTTTCAAAGACAATTATAAAGACACGAATCCAATTTGTAGAAGAGATTGAGATGAGAAATTCAACGGTCTACTTACTGCGTGCGTAAAGTAAACGCGGCGGAAGTGATGCTAGATGGTAGTTGAAGACCCTTGATGATTTCCTGCCAAAGCTTTTTGTTTATAACATCAACTAATCCGCCGCGTGCTATCACGAGATTAAAAAGTTCATAAAGATCCAATACTGATTTTGCCATTATAGGTAATCGATTTATCGGGCTCCCTGTAACAAAATGTAAAACAAATTATTATTAACACACATCTGTTAAAAAATAACAAAACAAAACAACAGAAAAAAATAAATAAATTTGTATGACTTGTGCATTGTGCAAAATCAGTGTGATCCTAAAAAAAAGAAATGAGTTAAAGTGCAATAAAATAGAAAAAGTATTTATCTGTCTTCATGTAACAAAAGTTAAAACAAATTATTATTAACATATCTGTTAAAAAAAAACAAAACAAAAAACCTGTGCATTCTGTAAAATCAATGTAAACCTAATAAAAAGAGAAATGGGGTTATGGTGCAATAGAAAATAGCTTAAGGAAAAAATATTAAACAGGATAGGGACAATCTAATTTACGCGAAATGTGTAAGAAAGAAAGAAAGAAAAAAAAAAAGGAAATGCAAATAAGGGCGGAAAGGGAAAATTTCTTTGAGAGGGGGTAGGTGTACCACCAAAGACCGTTCTCATTCGTCGCGTGATGGACACGACGGCAAATTCGTCGATGGTTTACGTACGAGGCTGCGCAAACCGCTGCATTTTACGAGGTTTGCCCAGGGCTGCCAAAGGGTGGGAGGAAGGAAGGGAGGGAGGGGCGTTAACAAGAGCAGTAACGAATTCGCGAGCATCACGCGAACGGCACACGCTTTTACGAGCTCTTTGCGAACATCACAGGTGGTATGACAAAACGAAAGAGAATTTAAACGAACACAAAGAGAGAAATAGAGAAGAAGAAGAAGTAAGAGGGTTGTTTTATTGTAAGGGTGCGAACAATTAATTCGATTTTCTGGTCACAATGTATATATATATATTATATTATACTGTGTTTGCACGAATTTCGATTATTTTTTTAGAATGAATTTGATAATTTTATACATGGGGGTGAGATTGATAAATAATTTCGTACTATGGTAAAAAGGGGTTGTTGGAGGGTGGAAAGAACATATGTTAGAATATATGAAAATATATTAAAAAGGAATGAAACTATTGTAAAAATTCGTGTGTACCAACCAAACGAACGAACCAACCAACGAACTAACTAACCAACCAACCAACCAACCACCACCACCAAGTATGGTAGTCTCCGAGCCATCCAATTTTACGAGCTTGTCCGAGGGTCGAGTTAACGGGGTGTTAACAAGAGCATTGCGCTCGCGAGCGACTATCGTGTGCGCTCGAATCGCGTAAACGTAAACTCGCTCGTAAACTCTCTCTCTTTCTCTCTCTTTCTCTTTCTCTTTGGGCCCTGGGTTAGAGTAGAAGTAGAAATACAGTAGAAGAGAGTAGAATACGTTTCGCGTCGGTGTAATCTGGCAGCAACCAGCACACACCAACGTCATACACAGCACCGGTAAATAAACGAGTAAACGAGATGGGTAAAACCAGTAGTATTGGGGGTGGGGAAGGGGCTAATGTTGTTAACCAATTGAAACTTTTGTCTTTCTCCTTTTTTCTCTCTTTTAAAGTGTGCATAATTTGCATAGAAAAATCAAGGAACAAGTAAAGTATCGTATACCAAAATGGCGTCAAGTAGATGTCGCACCGTTCGATAAATAACCTCGTATCGATTCGTAAACGATATAATTAATAAGTAGTGGAACTAATGTTGTTAATCGTTAGAAACTTTTGTTTCTATCTTGTTCTCTCTCTCTCTTTTAAAGTGTGCATAATTTGAATAGAAAAATCAAGGAATAAGTAAAGTATTGTATACCAAAATGGCGTCAAGTAGATGTCGCATCGTTCGATAAAAAACTTCGTATTGATTGGTAAACGATATAACTTGAAATAATATTTATGAAAAATCTTTTCTTTCAATCGTATTCAAATGATAATAACGATTTTATACGGATAATATATTTTTAGAAAGAAAAAATGTATTATAGCATAGTAAGTTGGGTAGGTTAGGTCATTTTCAAAGATTCTAATTTGAAGAAATAAAAATGAGGGAGAAGGAAAGTACTTTGAGAGTACACCGATGGCGTATCGCAGGATCGTTTATCCGCCATCGAGGAGGACGAAGGGTGCAGAAAGAGAAAAAGAGAGACAGAGGGAGAGAAAGAGAGAGAGTTGCCGCCATATTCCTGCGAGAGAGGCAATAAAACGCGTCCGCGAGGTAGGGGAACCAGCAATTTCGGGCTATCGAGCGTAGTCCCTCCGGCTTTATTATTGGCCCTACAATTATCGTTGATATACGCGCCCCGTCGAAGTTGCCTTTAATGCTTCTATGTAGGGCGCAGCGATAAAAGTATGCTCCTCGCAAGCAAAATGGCGTACCCTTCTTCTCTCTCTTGCTCTTTCCTCTTGCATTTTCTTATTATTATTCTCTTTCTATTCATTGGTAAAATATATAGGGAGAAAACCCCACACCTTGGGGCCCTTTTTATCTTTTTTCTTATTATTCAATCTTTTTTCTTGGGTTTTTGTTTTTTAAATATATTTTTTCCCAAAGAAACGTTTGAATTATCTTTTACTATACACATTGGGTGGTCAACTTGGTTAACCTGTTCACCCTGTTCTATAATAAAAGTAATACGAAGTTCATTTATTTATATGGTTGTCCCATAATACTCCTTTCTCTTTTTTTATGAGACTTCGATAGACGATATTTGTTAGTTTTAGGTAATATTACACAATTAACTGATTATTTTATTTCGTATTTAATTATTTCTTTTAAAAGTAAATTTGCTTAATTTAGATTCTTAATTCGAATAAGGAAGAAACTATAATAGAATGACTCGAATGTATTCAAAGCGTGGGAACGTGAAAAGTAGAAAGGAAAGACGATAGGAGTTATACTAATCGGACTGTTCAAAAGGAAACGAATGTTCATGAGTTTAAATAGATTAGGAAGAACCCTTCTTATATATATATGTACACACACTGCATAGATAATATAATACATGTTTTATATCATACTAGTAGTCAGTTGCTTTGTTATAAATGTAAGAATGTATCATTTTACTTATCGCAATTGCATAAAAAACTAGTATTTTAAATATCTACTTCCTCATATTCCTTACACCACCACCCAACCAACATCAATCCATTTATTCATTTTCAAAATTATTTTTTCTACTATTTAGTAAAAAAGAAAAACAAAACAAAAGCAATTCAATTGTGACATTTGATCTCTCTCTCTCTCTCTCGAACGGTATAGTATTTTATCAGTGATTTAAACGACCGATAAGAAAATGATTCAAAATCATTTTTGATCATCCCTCTTTCCCCCTTTAAATCTTCTCATTTTTATGAATACATTCGTACAATACTTTTTATCTATTAGAATGATAACTATTGTTTCAAACGAACAACGAACTACCATCCACCCCCCCCCACACACAGAAAAAAACGGATGCAAATAATAATAAGAATAAAAATAAGAAGAAGAAGAAGAAGAAGAATAAAAATAAGTTTCATTGTTTCCGACACGGAGGACTTGCGAGTAAATGAGTATAGTAAGAGAATAGGGGGTTGAAGAGGGCGGGAGTGGGAGTAGTAGTAGAAAGAACGGATGGAATAAAGTCAAGAGAATGAAAATAAGAGCGAATACATATATACGTGTGTGTATGTGTAAGTAAGAAAGAATGAGATAGGAACTAAGTATACAACTAGGTATATATATATAGTTGCAATAGTTGTGCTGGTAGTTGATGTATTTGTCGCGTCGGTGTGTGTTGGGTGGTGAGGACGAAGGGGGTGAGGGTGAAGGAGATGAGGAGGAAGAGGAGGAAGAGGAGGAGGGAAGGGGGAAGAGGCATTTCAGGATGCGATTACGACTTTTCTTGGTAGGGCGTCCAATCAGCAGTTATTTTTATAATGGCCGCCGCGTCCCGGTCGGCATAAGCGAGGTGGAGAGGCGCTCATGGATAACCGAAAGGGGGAGGTGAGGGGGTAACGGTGGCCATTGCGTGCCTCCTTCAACGAGCCGAAGTAGCCATTCGCCCGGCGTAGAGGCGTTATGTACTTTCAAAGGGCCCTTCTTCTTTTTTATTCTTTCTTTCTTTATTCTTCTTTTTTATTCTTACTCTTCTTACAACCCTTTTCTATTTCTTTCCCAATTTTCTATATCAAAACACCGCCACCCACGCCTCCCCCCTCCCCGATTCTTTTCTTTTTTCATTCTTCGAGTTTTAATCAAATCGTTAAATTTTTCTTATAAGATTTTTTTATAAGTACGATTAAAATCAATTTAACACAGACACACACACACACACACGTGTACACATAATACACCTCCCCGTAATTATAATAATTTACATTTCAAAGCGTAAATAGGTAAAGACGACAAATGAAAGGACACACAAAATTCGTAAAAAAATGAGAAACCTTTTCGTTTCCGTGCAGATGAACCAACTGGAAAAAAAACGCAATCTTTCTGGCAGAGAAGAGGGCGGGGGAGGAAAGGAGAGGGGGTTGAAAAAAAGAAAGAAGAGAGACCCCAACCAATAGAAGCAAACATAATTGGTTATCTATATAAGAAAGAGAAAGAATGTTACATTTTATGGATTATTGCGAGGGTTAAGGGATGGGAGCGGCAGGAAGAGGGTGGGAGGGTGGTGCCCGATCTAATAACGATCCGTTAGGCTCGGAGGCCTTTATTAAGCGAGTTAGAATACATTCTCATAAGGATGCGAATACATACTAAACGTGTATTACACATATACATCATTGGGACCAGTCTCTTTTCGAAACGACTTTTCTTAGAATCTCGCGTGACGGCGGGGTCTATGGAATCTATCGAACTTAGGTTGGTGCCGTTTAAAATGTATCCTTTCTCAAACCGATTTATACTTTTCTCTCTGCCCTCTCATCCCCCTCTGAAGCCCCTGCCCACCCTCTCTATTATATATATTTCTTTTTTCTTCATTTACATTTTCAAATAACAAATAAACAATTTTATATAACGTAACGATACAATTATTTATATCGAACATCTTCGATATTGTTTATCGTATTCGCAGAAACCACAAAAAAAGAAAAAGAACAACAATATAATTAATTA